AAATACATTAACAAAGTTAGATAAGGCATGCCACTTTCATAACTGCAGGATGATATGCAATTAATATGCAAACTTATGTATTTTGTATGGGTCAACCCTTGTATTTGTTTAGAAAAGTACTCACTAGCAGCAAATTGTATAAATAGTAGTTCAATTGAAAGTATTACTAAAATACTTAGAATTATCTGAATGTTCCTAAATTTCATTTCTTTAGTCTCGAAAGGTTGAGGTGTACATTTGTAGCTAGACTTGGTTCCAGACCCTCTGTACTAGGCTACTGTTACTTGGGCACTTGCACTAGAGACTCGGGGAAAGGTGGCATTTATTTTGGCAGTAATATAAGATTATTATGAAAACATTGCAAGGTATACATGAAGGCAGTATGACAATCGTATCAACGAAGACATTACAGAGGTCTATGCAATGCCGTACTGCCTGAATGCATAATTTATGGTATTCTCGTGATAACCTTATGTACATTTTTTTGCACTATGTAAGCATATTTAAGTACCTGTAAAATATAACTGCCAAAAATGGCAGCAAAATCCTTACTGCATGATAATTTGTGTCCAGTGACTTGATTCTGTTTTCATCACATGCTGCGTTCGATGTAAATTTCACGAGGCAATGGCAAAATTTTGTTGCATTGAAAATTGCTCTGGTGTCAGTGACTTTCGCAAAGTTTTGTCTTTACGAATGCCATAAAATCTAGAAAATTATACAATTTACAGTATGATGCCTACTTATTATTGAAGATGTCTGTAACACATTGGAACATGTGCATTCAATAATAAAGATAATATTTTATTAGTCTTTGAAACTGTAAAAAGTAAGATACAAGTCAGCAACAAGAAGAAAAAGAAAAGAAAAAAACAATCTATAAAAGCATTCATACATGTAAATTATTCAGTTTCTCGTTTCTGAATTTCCATAGGTGGGTGAGAAAGTTTCGGATTTCGTTTGATGTATTATTTCTCAAATCCTTATTGATTGCCCATAAAGCATCACTGAAGAGAAAACTAAATTTGAAATTAATTCCTCCTGAAAAAATCTATCTACAATAGTTGATTCTTCACTATCTTTATCCTCACATCGTCTATCTTTCTGAAAACAATTTTGTCTAGTAAGTCAGTTTCTTCAACAGGATTTTACAGACAGTTGAATTCCATTGTGTTCTGTGTCAGATGAACAATAATCTATTTATTTTTGAGTTTGTCCGTATGTTATTTTCTTGTCTCTATCATAGGAGGAAAGTCTCATTCTCTTGGAAGTAGTTTTCATCATGGTTTTGGGAAAGAATCAAGGGCTGTAACACTTCTAAATGGTAAGCTGCCAAACTTATTCACTAACTATATTTAGGGGTTACGTACATGTACGTGCATTGTATTTTTAAGTAAAATTGCAGTATCTTTAAAGTGCCTGCGAAATGGCTGCTATTTTCACGCCTAAAATTATCAATTGATACATAAATATTATTAATTTTTATGTTTCTAAGCATGAATTATTTTTTTTAAATGAAAAAATGTGTTTTATACTCAGTCTACGGCAACTTTATTTTTGTGTATTTTAAAACGAGACTCCTCATTAGCTTCTCATTTGCATACAGAAATTTCCTTTGTGACATCAGAAGGGGAAGTCGCATGGCAGCTTGCATTGCCGATACGTGTAAATATGGCAAATTTCTTGTGCAGTTTTCTCGTCTTTGACTATATTGTCACTTATGTACTTGTTCGCCGAGGAAGAATGGACCATAATGAACACATAGTATCAATTTTTGTTGCATGGGGTTAAGTTAGATGTGAAATATGTCCGTTCTGGTGTAGCTGGTCACCGTGATCGTCACCGACACCGGCGCACGTTTGTACATTGCTGC